TGAATGCTGATTTATTTTATACTTTCTTGCTGGACTGTTAATTTTTTACCTTTTTTATTGCTTTGCTTTGGAGTTAGGATTATATTAAAATGAAAACAAAATATATTAAGAATTCACATTATGCATTATAGATTTTTTATAATGCCCACAAAAAGAAATATAAAAGAAAGGCGAAAGCCAGATCAACTTAATCTCAAAGTGTTCTTGGAAATCTCCCCCCCCCCCCAAAAAAAAGCTTTTTGATTTACAAGCTTTGAATGAAAATTTAGATTAAAAATTTAATGATTTGATAAATCAACCTAAGGACAATACTCAGATACAGGTACTTGCAGTTAAAGCAAACTTGTAATTGGATGGATTGGAAGTCAATTTGTTGCTGACAGAATTGAAAGAGAAAGAGCTTTGTTTGAGAATTGCAGGGTTGTTGGAGAAGGCTGAAAGGAGATGAATTTAAAAGTCTTAGAGACGGCAGTGATCAGTGGATCAGTGATGAACTGGGCTTTCTTAAAAAACAGATGGAGATTATGGAATATTCTGATTGAATATTCAATCAGAAGAAAACTGTTAACAGATGATACAGTTCAACTGGCACAAAAACCGTCTGAATGACAAGTGCTGTGGAGACATTCACAAAAGAGAACTATGACTTTGGGGCATGAGATACCAGGAAATCTCATGTTGTTGGGAAAATTCCAGTTACAATTTTAAGGAAAAGCTTTATTATTAAGAATCAACCAAAGATATCTGATCCTGGAGATAATGATTGCAATGGTGTGTGGTAGTTTAGAAGCTGTATTGGACTTTGTGCATGTGAAATACAATAATAGATTGTTAGCAGCATGTTAACTGATTTTTTTTTTAATAGTAAATAGATGAAAGGTCAGATTAATTGGGCAAATAGAGCTGTAGAGGTTTTGCAAAGGAGGGGGGAACTATTCAGTGGTTCCTGGCTTCTAAGTATTATATTTTAACTGCTTATGTCTAAAGCAGGGGTATCAAACTCGATTTCATTGAGGGCCACATCAGGGTTATGTTTGACCTCGGGGGGGGCAGGTGAGTTTGACCAGAGTGGGCACTGTCAGCATGATGACACTTGTGTCGGGGGGCACCTGTGGTGGCCCGAGCGCTCTGCCACCGAAAACTGGCTCCCAAGCTCCGTTTTTGGCTGCAACGGCCTCCTGCAACCCTTTGCCAGTGAAAACGAAGCTCGGGAGGGCCGCATGCAGCCCTTGCAAGCTCTGTTTTCACTGGCAGAGGCATCGCGGGCTGGTTCTTTGCTATTTCCAGGGAGGCCCCACGGGCCAGATCTAAGCCCGTGGACTGGATCTGGCCCCCGGGCCTTGAGTTTGACATCCCTGGTCTAAAGCCTAAACAAAAATGTGTTTGTTCAACAGAAACTTTGATTTTGTGACCAGTTGACAAAAGTTTCATATTTATAGAGACAAAGCAGGCAAATTATTATCTTTTTAAGCAGTTAGAAAAAGAATATATACTTGGACAGCAAATACACAAAGACAGTCAAAACCTCTCAAAAGGATTCAGAAATTAGTAGATTTTCTAGATTTGTGGCTATACTGCAAATTACTTTCTTGAAGAAGCCCCACGTATAGTGCCCCATCATGTTTTCATTATACTGTCCTTGGTAATGACATTCAAAGTCCAGTATATCCTGGTGAAAATGCTCATCTTACTCCTCTGAGTAAGCACCCATGTTGTCCTTGAATTTATCAAGAAGAGCATCAAGGATATGGACTTTGAGGGACATTTTGCATCCCATTTTGGCATAGTTCTTTATGAGAGTCTGAAACAGTTGCTCATAGTTTTCAGCCTTGTGATTGCCCTATGAAACTGTTTCAAGACACTTTTTCAACTGTTCCAAGACTATTCAGCTTCTTGGCAAATTTGTCACACTGTATGATCTTCTTTATCTGTGATCCGACGAAGATACCAGCTTTAACTTTTGTCTTTGACAGCTGTGAAAGAGATCTTGGAGGTATTTCAAAGCTGCAGCCTTCTTGTCTAGAGCTGTGACAAATTGTTTGATGTCTAACTTGATGTGCACAAGTGGCATCAGCACCTTCCAAGGGTCTACCAGTGGCTCCCATTTTATGTTATTCTTTCCTACAGAGAATTTGGTCCACTGTAGCCAGTCCTTCTGTGATAGTGCACCTTAGTATTGTTGTGGTCCGTCAGCAGCCTGCAGAAGCTGGCAGCGGAGTCGGACAGCGATGAGGCTGAGGAAGAACATGGTCCAGTCCTGGAGGCTGGGGAAGGCCCAGATGAGGGCTCTGCGTTGGAGGCAGAGATGGGCCAGGGCCATTGGGGAGTGATGTGTGGACTTCGAAGCCCCCAGAGGCTGACAGCAGAGAGGCAGAGGAGCAGAAGGAGCCTGTTCCTAGTGCACGCATGAGAAGAGCTTCCAGAAGGCAAGAGCAGCTAAAGCAAAAAGGACAACTCAGGAGTAAGGCCAAGAGATTTTTGGCCCCTCCCATAAGGCTTAAAAGACCAGCAACGGCTCTTGGCCTCTTTGCCAGAAAACAACCGTTGAGAGATTTGCTTCGTGTTTGAATGTATTTCTTTCTTGTCAGCATCTTCTGTTCCTGAACTGTTGCCAAGAAAAGCCTAAAGGAGGGTGATGGGATGGAGAAGCCCAGCCACAAATTAGGAGATGTAGGCAGCATACCCAGAGTCAGCCATAAAGGACTCAGATTCCTATACACTAATGTTCAAAGTTTACGGAACAAACAGAGTGAACTTGAAGAACTAGTGCATGAAGGCAGGTGGGATGAAACACATGGTACTGGAATGTACTGATGGAAGGATACAAACTATTCAAAAGAAACAGAGCTAACAAAAGAGGAGGCAGAGTTGCATTATATGTAAGAGATCATTACAAGAATGCATAAAACCAAGGATGAAAGCCTCCTATAAAGCATATTGGTTAATATAAAAGGGAAAAAGAATGACATTGCCATACTACAATTTTGGCCATTCAACCAAACAAAAGAAAAAAGAAAAAGAAATTTTTGCTAATCATTTAACAATGATTACCATAGTAGTAATTGGGGACTTTAACTACCCTGATTTTAACTGGGAGACAACTCATCATCAAATGGGATATCGAACAAGTTCCTGACCAACCTAGCTAACAATTTTGTCATCCAGAAGATAGAAGAAGGAACTAGAGGGACAGCTATACAGGACCTACTGTATTTTTCGGTCAATAAGATGCACCCCCCCGCCCCCCCCAAAAAAGTGGTGGAAATGTCTGTGTGTCTTATAGAGCAAATGTTGCTGAAGCTCCGCCCACCTGCCAGCCCCACCCCTTGGCCTCCCAGCAATTTGCCTCCTTGCAGCAAACAGCCTGGTCAGCTTCAGCACAGTCTGATTTAGCACAAGCAGTTGATTGGCTGTTGGATCGGCCTCCCGGAAAATCGCCGATCAGCTGTTCCAGGCTATAGGGATTACTGCTGTCACCGCCCATCGCCGCCTCCGCACACCCTGTTTTCTGCCTCCGTGCGCTCCATTTTCTGCCTCCGTGCATCCCGTTTTCAGTCCATTCCAGGTGGTGGGGATCGCTGCCGCCTATCACCACCGAACGGTTTTGTTAACAGTTTTGTTAGTAACGTTTTTCAGAACTGGTTTGCCATTGTCTCCTTTCTAAGGCTGAGAGAAAATGACTGGCCAAAGATCACCCAGCAGACTTTGTGCCCTAAGGAAGGACTAGAATTCAAAATATCCCAGTCTTTGGCCTGATGCCTTAATCCAGGGGTGTCAAACTCAAGGCCCACAGGCCTGTGGGGTGCTTAGATCTGGCCTGTGGGGCCACCCTGGAAACAGCAAAGGACCGGCCCATGGTGCCTCGGCTCGGCCCAGCCCAGGCTGATCACGCACGGCCCTCCTGAGCTCTGTTTTCGTTGGCAAAGTGCTTTAGGAGGCCAATGGATCTTGGCCAAAAATGGATCTTGGGAGGGCCACTAGCAGAGTGCTAGCAAAACAAACTACTAGCAAAAGTGGCATTTGATCGCAAGGCAAGGAAGCATTGAGATATGTTTCCCCTTTTGCATTTGAGCATCCAAGAAGGGTCAGAAAAGGAGAAAGAGGAAAGACAAAGAAAAAGGGAAGGGAAGAATGGAAGAGTGCAAGGAAGGGAAAATAAGGAAAGAGGGGAAGTAAGAAGTAAGAAAGGAAAATGAAGAGGGAAGGAAAAAGAAGGGAAGGAAGGAAGGAAGGAAGGAAGGAAGGAAGGAAGGAAGGAAGGAAGGAAGGAAGGAAGGAAGGAAGGAAGGTAGGTTATAATGAGAGGGAGGGAAGCCCTGCCTTAGTACTTGGCCACCAGCAGCCTTGATGCCCTTTCGCCATCCGCTTGTCTCCTCCTCCATCCATCCTCCTCCATCACTGAGCATGCCTTGGTTACAAGGCTGGGTCTCCTTGCATGGAGAGGGAGTTGGCCTTCCTCTGACCCACATACTTTGCCCTCCCACATATACCATGAGCAACTTGACCAAGGAGGATGAGCACAGCAGCAGCAGCCTCGAGGAGGAAGTAAGCACAGCTGGGAACCCCCTTGGGGAAGTGGGATTGTGCTGTGCTGGGCTGTGGGGTCCCAGTGCCCTAGGAGCTCAAGGGCCAAGCTGGGCCCTTGCCCTCCACTGCCTAGGGCTCTGAACACCCTGTCTGGGGGTCCTCCGCATGGCCTGAGAGGAGGCTCCTCTGGAGGACAAGGGTTTGGCCCTCTCCCTGATCTCGTCTTTCTCCGCTGGAGACAATGGATCCCCCCAGCCCTGCCCAGCCCATCACAGGTGCCCCCGACATGAGTGATGTCAAGCTGGCCACGCCCACCCCAGCCACACTCACCTGGCTTCCAGAGGTCAAAGACAACCCAATGAAATAAGAGTTTGACACTCCTACCTTAATCACCACACCAAACTGACTCTCATAGAATAGTTAAGTATATCAATAATATTAAGATTTTTTCATTATTCATAATTTGTCCCTACCTTTCTGGAATTAAAATCTCTGTACTTTGTTGTCGTTTTATACGGGGTGGAGCTGGTCGTGCACTGCTGGGTCGTGGTAGCCTTCTGTTAAGTAGGGAAGAAATTGTTTTAATAGTAAGCAATTACTATTTACTGTTATTGCTATTATTTCTATATAATTATAAATTAATTTCAAATATCCTCTGTATATATCTTTAATTTCAGATATAAATGCATCTTTGAGAATTAAGCAAGTATGTATTAATGTATCTGAATTATATATCTTTCAATTGTAATATATCCAAACAAGTTTAGATTCTGATTCACATACTTTAAATTACAATCTTAAATTCTAAAAATAAATTCTAGCAACACAAGTGTTTTCACTTATTACTCTTGATCTAAACAGGCTATACACTCTTTATAGACCTGGTTTATGGACAACAAGGTCTGACAGTTACAGCAGAGGTGGAGCAGCCAAGGCCCAGTGGCATGTAAACTGTGGCTCCCTAGACTCCTGAGAGGGCAATGTCAAATGGCCAAATTTCAGTTTGTTTGTTCTTAAAAACAGGAGGAAGGAATTAGAAGTCATCACAAACTGAAACTATTTAATAGTTTTATAATCCCATCCCTTCTCTCACAACTCAGATGATAATGTTCAACAAAATGGCTGAACTCAAATGACAATATGATTTCATTTAAATGAAGCAGGTTGCAAATATTTAACTCCTTCAAAACCTTTTTGAAAACCCCAAGGATCTCAAAATAATACAAAAAATATTGGCAAGTATGTGGATACTGCCAAATGCTGATCCAATTGAACAAATGAAAAATTTCTCTCCATTGTTATAAACAGAAAATTTACATTTCTGTCTGTGTGAATATAGGTATTTTCCCCAAGAGGTACTGTTATTTTGGGAAACTATTTTTTTCAACTAACAGAGCATCCAGAGTATAAATAATAACTACTTTTCTACAGTGGCAGCAGAGACTGGGTGGCAGGGCAATGCTTCAGCGTGGGCTGCAGGCAGCAGTGAAATGCACTTACTTTCGCTACCGGTTTGGAAATGTGAGCGCACTTGCGTGTGCCTCTTCTGCACATACGCAGAGGGTCAAAAATGGGACATAATGATGTCCCGGCAGGTGGGTAGAGCCTCCCGCCGTCAGCAGTACCTATTCACACGAGTTGGATAGATCCAGCCAGATTTCACTGCTGGCTGCAGGACACAAAGACAAGAGTCAGCAAGTGCAGTACAGTAGTATTGGCAGCATGACCTGAGCTTTGGCAACAGTAGCAACTGGCTAGTGGCAAGAGCTTGGTGGGGCCAGGGAAAGAATTTTGAAAAGCCAAAAACAGGATGTGCAACGTGAAGTCAAGCCCAATGCCTAGGGACCTTCATGAAAGACTTAGGGCTGTGTGGTTACCTGTGTGGCCAGTGGCCACAAGAGTTGGGGTTACATTGGAGGACTAAAGGCCCCTGAAATGTTTGAGTGCCCACTACCTGTGGCCTTATTCTAGATCACCAGTCCCTCCTGGGTCAGGGGGATGCAGATGATCATCTTCAGAACTGTGCTGAGGAATCTGTTCGAGATCTGATGGACAAATCACTTGGATTCATTCCCAGTTGGAACCAGGCATGGTTCAGGTGCATTTGAGATGCCTAGGGAAAGGTCTTCCCTGGTTATTTGGGGACAGTTTGATCCTGTTGGACCTGATGAAGTGAACAATTAGATCTCTGTCCTGTCTGGTTGATGGACAAATAAGTAGCAGATGGGTTTAAGCAACAATAAACTTTTCCTGAGGCCTTTTAAGGAGGCTTAGTTCACCTTTAAAAAAAACCATCACTTGATCCCATTTATCTGGACAATTTTTGTCCAGTTTCCCATCTTCCCTTCTTAGGGAAAGTAATAGAAAAGATGGCTGCTTGGCAGCTTCAGAGGGTCCTAGATGAAATGGATTATCTGGACTCTTACCAATCAGGATTGAAGCCTGGGTTTGGCCACCAAGGTTTACATCTTTACATCTCTACCGCTGGTGATCCAACTGACACTGTTGCTGCCCTCTCGAGATGCTTAGAAACTATAGGGGCCTGGATGGAAGACAACTGGCTGCAGCTGAACCCTGGCAAGATCAAATGGCTCTGGACATGGATCTTCAAGATCTGGGACCTCAACTATCTTAGTTTTGGATGGGCTTGCACTCCCCTAGACAGACCTGCTCCACCACTTGGGATTCTCCTGGATTCACGACTCCTGGTCAAAGAGCAGGTGGCAGGCATGCACACCTTTATGCTGTGTGTGTCAAGTTGCAGCCTTTCCATGGATCAGGAGTCGCTGAGCTCAGTCATTCAAGCCTTGTCATCTCATGTTTGAACTACTGCAATAGACTCTACATGGGGCTACCCTTGAAGAGCATTTGGAAGCTTCAATTGCAGCAGAGTGCAGTGGCATGGGCAGTTCTTGGATTTCTTAGGGTAGCTAAGTAGTCATGCCACTACTCCACAAGCTGTACTAGTTGTCAGTTTCCTTCTGGATGCAATTCAAGATGCTGGTTATTACCTTTAAAATCCTGTATGGCATGGGTCTAGGTTATTTGAGGATTCATCTCACCTTGGGACTGAGCCATCATCTCAAGAATGAGAGGGACACTATGGCCCGTAAGCCAATAAATTCCAGCTGACAGGGTTCCGGAAAAGGCCTTTTCTACCATGGCTCCTGCCTTTTGGAACATCTTACATACTAAGGTGAGATTGGCTCCCATTCTTCTGATCTTCCTTAAGGGCCCAAAGACCTGGCTGTCCCAGATGTCTTGGGGTCCTAATGGGGGACCATCACACTGGACACAGTTCATGGCAATCGTTGGGGGGGGCATGACTAGCATCATGGCAGAACAACGGATCTTTTGGGGGCTCCCGAGGGACTGTCGATATCCCAGCTGTTAGGTGGTCCTTTTGGACCTGGGTTGTCTTGTAGGGACGACGAGCAAGGGGAGCACATTCTGTGAATCTCAGGGAACTTGCAAATTCCCTGATAGAGCCAGAAAAGCTCCCTAAACATACGGTTGAGAAGGCGACCATTATGAGTTGCTACGAAGCTGGGGCAGCCACTGCAGAGCACGGAAGTGAAAGGAAGGTGTGATCAGTCTGGGTGAGATATTTTGAATATTTTTTACTACCTTTTAAACTGAATTAAAGAAGAACCTCCTTGGAACAACAAAGGAGAGTGTGACCTTGAAGGAGGAGGTGGAATTGGGTGTTTTACCTATTCCACCCCCGGAAGAATGGCAGCGAGAAAGGCGGGTGAAGCTAAGAAAATAAAGGAATAAAAGAAAAATTGGTTTATAAAGATTGGGCTAAAGTCTGAATCCGGACTGGATACTTCAATTTTTAAATTGGGGATAATTGACTAAAGAATACGTGATTAGATGAACCTTTTTGGAACTTTTTATTAAATTTGGACTTTAACTTGCTGTGACGGTACTGTAATGAGGGGAAGAAGGAGAGAGAAATAAAGCAACAGTGCCACCTACAGGCAAAGGTTAAAATTGGAGGATATACTAACAAAGATGAAATATAACCTTGGGAGCTAAGAAAGCTTGTGAACTAAATTGATAAGCAGTTGTTTTCACTAAACAATTCAAGATATAGAGTGAAACACTGGAGACTTTGTTTTTTCTCTTTGAGAACAGTGCAGCTCTTGGAATCTAAAAGGCAAAAGACAAAACAACAGAGACAAACTAAGGAAATCTACACTGGCATTTTGGAATAAGGCTTTTGTTCTTTTTTTCTTTTTATATATTTTTGTTGTTGTTGTTTCTTTGGTTGACATCAGTGGTTTTTTCTTGAGTTTCTTTCTTTTTCACTGTTGTTTTGGGTTGAATTGTGAATTTGCTTACAGGAATATATATGCTGGATAATGACAGTTTTTGGTGGGCCGATTTGGATTACAAAATTTTATTTTATAAACTCCTCTTTTAGAGGTTATTTGGATTAAGGTTGTAAGAACCTGAAGTAAAGAAGTTGGAAAAATTCTGAGAAGGACATCAAAGTTTTTGGACTTGGATTGCAATTGGATTATTCTTTTTTTCCTTTTTTAATCTCTTCTTTCTTTTTCTTTTCTTTTTTTTTAATCTCTTCTCTTCCCTGTCTTTTTATATTTTTTACACTTGATGGGTTACAAGATATAAGGCATGGCAAAATGAAGAAAACACAATCAGCGCCAGCTTCAGTGAGTTTGTTTGCAATTTCTAGCCCTGCGGGTCACAGAACATTGGAGGCCATGATACAACAACAAGAAAAATTAGAAAAATCTAATGCCATGCAACTAGAATTGAAAAGCATGATACAAGCTCTCCACGAGGATTTGAAGGAAAGAATAGGCAAGATAGATGAAAGAATGAAGAAAGTGGATTGAATTCGGCAATAAAAAGGAAAAAAGTTTTTAACAGAGAGACTAAAACAGGACATAATTTGCTTACAAGAAGTCCACATTAGAAAACAACATGGAAAAGTTTTGGAATACCCAAAAATGGGGAAATTATACGCCTCGCTTGCACAGCAAAGTAAAAGAGGTGTAGCACTATATATAAAAAAGACAATTAAAGCTAAACAAATATTTCTGGATGAGGAAGGAAGAATTTTGATGATGGAGATAACGTTGAATAACAAACAAATATTGTTAGTGGCGATATATGCACCAAATGAGAATCAAGAATATTTCTATAGTAAACTATATAGAAAAATAATAGAACTGGAATATGAGAATATATGTATTGTAGGTGACTTCAATGCAATTGTGGATGCAGAATTGGACTATAAAACTAAAAAAAGAAATAAAAGAGCTAGGAAGATACTTCCAAAAATCTTTTTTAAAATGGTGGAAGAATTAGATATGCAAGATGCTTGGCGAGGGATACATCCAGACAAAAATCAATATACATTTTATTTTAATAGACATGTCTTGGTCTAGAATAGACATGATGTGGATATCAACTGAGCTACTACCCAATATACAAGAAATAAGTATAGAAGTAAGCACATGAGCAGATCGTAATCCAATGAATTATATGGAGAGACTAAAAAAGAAGCTAAGATGGACAATGAACTAAACAATTTTAAAAGAAAAATAATTTATACAATTTATGGAAAGAGAGCTGGCCTTCTTCAAAGAGAATAGAAAAGAAGAAACATTATTACAAAATGTATGGGATACAGCAAAAGCATATATTAGAGGACTGGCAATAACATATGTGGGAAAAAGGAATAAAAAGAAAAGACAAACTCAAAAGCAATCAGAAGAGGAATATAAGAAGCTAGAGATAGAAAAAAACCCACGAAAAAAGAATATCAAAAATCAAATGGACTTGAAAAAACATAAACTAAACTTAATAGAAAAAGAAGACTTGGCACAAAAGATTAAGAGAGCTAAACAATACTTTTTTGAAAATGCAAATAAACCAGGAAGATGGTTGGCATATAGACTGAAAAAAGAGCAGAAGAAGCTAATTTACCAACTAATGGATGAGAAAGGGACTTTACATTATAGAAGTGAAGAAAAAAAGGGAATGATCCATGACTACTATGAAAAATTATATAAGCAAGAAGCAATCTCAGAAGAAAAAACAAAACAATATTTGGAAAAAGCTGAATTACCTACAATACCAGAGGCATTTAAAAAGGCACTAGAGGAAAGAATAACAATGATGGAACTCACAGAAGCTATCAAAAGGCAAAAGAATTACAAAACACCGGGTCCAGATGGACTACCAGCAGAACTGTATAAAACACTACAAAATGTTATAAGTAATATGATGTTGGAAGTATTCAACGACCTGCTGATAGAGGCAAAAATACTGACTTTGTGGATGGAGGCATATACTATATCGAAAGAAGACACAGACTTACAACAGATAAAAAATTACAGACCGATCTCTATGTTGAATGCGGATTATAAGATATTTGCTTCAATTATAGCAGAAAGATTAAAGAGATTCTTAAATGAGTTTATACATACAGATCAAAATGGATTCTTCCCTAAAAGACAAATTAAAGACCATATGAGAATAATCTTGAACACATTGGAATATTATGAAGTGCATCCAGGGAAACAAATGGCCTTGATTTTCCTTGACATTCAGAAGGCCTTTGACAACGTGAACTGGCAATTTATGCTGATGCAACTAAAAGTTATAGATTTTGGAGAAAAATTTATTAATATGATTAAGACAATATATCATAAGCAATCAGAAAGGATGGTGGTAAATGGAGATATGACTGAAAAGGTTAATATTATGAAGGGTACAAGACAGGGATGTCCTTTATCCCCATTGCTATTTGTATTGAACTGGAGGTATTAAACAGAAATATAAGGCAGGATAAGGGGATAAAGGGTATGGAAATAAAAAAGGAGAAATATAAGTTGCAGGCATTCGCAGATGATTTGGTATTTATCTTAGAAGATCCGCAAGAATCAGGACCAAAGCTATTAAAAAGAATAGAAGAATATGGTGAGGTGGCAGGACTGAAAATTAATAAAGACAAAATGAAAATCTTAGTGAAAAAACATCACAGAAAAACAGAAAAGGGACTTGACAAAAAGATTAGATATCCAGATTACAAAGAAAGTAAAATATTTAGGGATACAATTAACAGCAAGATGTGTAACGATCAAGGAAGACAACTACTATAAGCTAAAATAGCAAATTGAGGTAGATTTGGATAGATGGAAAAACCTGCAATTATCGTTAATAGGAAGACTAGCTACAATTAAAATGAACATATTACCGAAAATATTGTTTTTATTCCAAACAATCCCGATAAAATTGGAGAAAAAATATTTTGAAGAGCTCAATAAGATAATAGTGAAATATATATGGCAGGGGAAAAAAGTGAGAATCAATCTAAAAATATTACAAGACGTAAGAGCTAGGGGAGGGTTTGGACTACCAAACTGGGTATTATATTACCAGGCAGCAGCGCTAACTTGGATGAAGGAATGGATTGTATTGAGAAATACAAGGTTATTGACATTGGAGGGACATGACCTGCAATTAGATTGGCATGCTTTTTTATGGTATGGGAAAAATAAGATACATGGTTACTTCCAAAGACACTATATAAGAAATGTTTTGTTATTAATATAGGGAAAAATTAGAGAGCAACACTACTTGAAGATACCAGTCTGACTTTTGACAATGGATGCACTTATACATCCAAATACTATTAATATAGGAAATATTTTTAGATATAAAGATATTTTGTTGGAAAAGGGGGAACTTAAAATGAAATGTGAACTGGAAAAGCAGGGGATTCGTAAAGACAGTTGCAAATACAATCTAGATATTAAAAGGATGCTAAACTTTATGGTTTTTATATGGAACTGACAGAATTGGATAAGGTATTGACAGGAATGGAAGAAAGAATGATAAAAAAAATTGTACAGTTACTTATTGAGCATTAAATTAGAAGAACAACAAGTCAAAAAAACAATGAGAGTATGGGCGAAAAACTTTGGTCACATGATAGAGCTAGATAAATGGCAGCAACTATGGGATAGGAATTACAAATTAACATTGTCAACTGCATACAAGGAAAGATATAAGATGTTTTACAGATGGCACTTATTACCCGAAAGACTGGCAAAAATGTTTAAAGATAAAATAACTAAATGTTGGAAATGTCAACAGACACTGGGGTCAAATTATCATATGTGGTGGCCATATGTGGAAGCAAAAAGATTTGTATGTGGCTGGAGAAGATGACGCAACAACATATTGATTTAAAACCGGAATTGTTCCTGTTGGGGATTTTACCGGGAATTTATAGTAAAGAAACTGTATATTTGATTATTCATGTAATAACCGCAGCTAGAATTGTATTTGCACAAAACTGGAAAAGCAAAGATCCCTATAGATGGAAAAGTGATTAAGAAAATATTAGAATGTGCAGAAAGGAACAGATTAAAGAATGAATCAGATTATTATAATATATGGGAGTTATTTTATCAATGGTTAGAGAATAAATACGAAAGCAATGTATTGTAAAAATAGATAAGAAGAGAAATATTAGGTTTATGTTACTTTATCTGTATTATTATTATTATTATTTAGTATTAATATAAGAATGAATGTAAGAAATGAATATGGTGGTAAGTTTAATTGTTAAGACACAAAGAATTTTATATCCAGATGACACACTGTTTAATGAAAGATGGAATGTTTGTATTAAAAGAAAAAAACAACAACAAAAACAATGAATTAAGAGCCCTCGCCCCTCACAGCACAGCCAGCTCCCTCTCTCCCAATATTTTAACTATATTTTTTCTTTAATTGTAACTCAATTGTTATCATTTTAGAAATATTTACCACAGGGTTTTATGCTTTTAATGCTGTAAGCCACCCACAGTTGTTTTGAAATGAGATGGGTGGCAAATTAATCTAATAAATAAATAAATAAATAAATAATAAACATGAAAAAATTGAAATAAATAAAATTTAAGAATTTAACTCAGATATAATATTGGTTTCCTAAACTAGCTTATACTTTGGTGATCATCTGATAAGTAATCATTGGGATAATCAAAAGTATTCCAATATCAACATGTTTTGAGTTCAAAACTCAACAGAACATGAAAGTGTTCTGAAAACAAAATGCTTGAAAAACACTTATGTTTGATCAAAACATTAAATGTATTCTGATTATTATTTTTTTTTAAATCTCAAGCTAACCAATAGAACAGCAGACATCAGTCATAACCCTGTTCCTATTGGATAAAAAGCATCAATTTCAACAACAGTAAGCAAGGAAGCGAAGCAACTACAATTTAAAGCAAGCAAGGCGGTCCAATGGCATTAGATAATTGTATAAGTGACAGCTTTGGGCAATTAGCATGGTGCAGAGTTCTGGTTTTGGGCACTACTTTTGTGTATCATCTTCAAAAGTAAGTAGCAGTCTCAATACAATCATGTAATTCATCTAAGCAGGTAGAAAATGTTTTACATTTCTGTTCCATGACAGGATAAGAGACAGGATCCCAGACATCTGCCACTGCAGTTACCAGCACCTCCTGTGCTGTGAGACACAGGTAATAGAGATAAACATGAGCTAGATGAGCATGGTTGACAGCTAGCCGTCAGAGCAGCCAAAGTTCAAATATCATCACAGAAATATGAACAACATACCTAATTATACATGCACATTATCAGCATGAACTTATTATCTGCAAACTGTCCCCGATAAAGAAAGATGATGTTAGGTTGGATGGGGCCAGCACCAATATATCTTAGTATAGTCACCAGATCTTACAAACACTTTAAGGTGGCTGGACATTTCCAAACATTCAGATGCTTTGTACTTCATTGTGATAATTAAGCAAGTTTAAGAAATATTAAAGTTTTAAACATTAGTTTAATAAGAATGTTTAGACTTTGTAATATATCTTGATTATTAGCATGAATAATATGAGTTATTAATGTTATTAATGAAAGAAAGGATATATAGTCAGACCTTTGAGTGATCTGAGATGGAATTTCATTTGTAAATTCATTATTTTCAGAAATCTTTTCTGTTGTACCAGCATTCAAAACATCTCCCTCTGTGGAATAAAAATAATTTTATTATGTCATTTTGAGGAAATGCCTCCAATATTTATTCTTTGTCTTACTGAAATAGATTTATTAAATTAAATATTATATAGAAATCAAGTCCATTATGTAATGTCTGTCTATTATAGATTATTGGTAGACAAAAAGTTTTAAAATTTGAATTACAATAAAACATATATCTAAATTTCTCAATACTGAAATGAAAATATCATAAAGGCTTATTACCTGCATCACCGAATGATTCACCTGTAAAATAAACATATTATTTTTCAGACTAAGTAGATCAAATAACTTGTTTGTTGTACACAGAACTGAGGACAGAGGATTCAAATGTACATGAACAGACCTTCCCACCAATTCCAAGATACTCTATCTTGATCATGGGGAAAATAGCATAGTTTTTAAACTACTCAGACAGCAAATAACTTAGGTTGAAAAGTGTTGAAAGCAGTTTTAAAAATCCAATGAAGAATTATGTAGTAGATTCAGATTTAGGACAGAATTCAGTGGTATGTTTCATAATTTTAAAAGCAATTTCCACTCAAGGTACTGCAGTATTATAAAAAAGTATGTTAGCACTACCATGAAATAGTCACAGTGTCATTATAGTTAAGCATATCAATAGAAACAAAAGATAAAGAAATGGCTAATGTACAAATCAAAGAAAAAAGGAGAAATAAACCATCAGCACATCTATCTATGGAGATTCTCAGTCATCCATGTCATGGTTGTGCCAAAGGTGCTTTTTCAGGAGGCAACTGGACTTTCTGGTTTTTCTTTGAAGATGTTTTACTTGTCATCCAAGCAGCTTCTTCAGCACTGAGTGAGAAGCAAAATGTCTTCAAAGAAAAACCAGAAAGGTCAGTTGCTTCTTGAAAAAGCACCTTTGGGACAACGAGTGCATCTATAATTTTTCATTTGTAATGTTTTAAATGTCTGTGTTCCATATAATCAGAATACAACAAAAAGTTATTATGCATGATGTTAGTGTTTATTTATTTATTAAATTTATATTTAATATAAATTAAATATAATTTATAATTCACTGTCAAGCACTCTGTGTGGTTTATAAACATCACAGAAACAGAGGTACAAACATTAAATATATTGCAATTAAATATGTTGTAAATACATAGCAATTAAATATTCAGTTAGAGAACAAAGAATTCTAGAAGTGAATCACTGGCTAAAGGGTTGGTATCGCCAAACAAGTTTTGGATTCCTGGGCCATGGTCTGTACTATCTCCATGATGGGCTTCTGGCAAGGGATGGGCTGCATCTCACAAAGACTGGGAAGAATGTTTTGGAAAACAACTGGATCAACTTATCAGGAGGGCTTTAAATTAAACTTGAGAGGGGAGGGTGACCAATCTTTAGGATCTCCAGGACTTAATTCCAAATAAAAACCCCTTAGAAAGCAAGTCTCAAATAATGAAGTAAGGAGGGATGGGAAGAAAGACAAACACAAACACCAACTAGGAGACATAGGAAGCATACCCAGTGTCAGACATAAAGATCTCAAGTGCCTATATACAAATGCACAAAGTCTGGGGAACAAACAAGGTGAACTTGAACTATTAATACATGGAGGTAGATATGATATAGTTGGAATAACAGAAACTTGGTGGGATGAAACTCATGACTGGAAAATACTGATAGAAGTATACAAATTGTTCAAAAAAACCAGACCCCATAAAAGAGGAGATGGAGTTGCACAGGGGGTGAAATTCAAAATTTTTCCTACTGGTTCTGTGGGCGTGGCTTGGTGGGCGTGGCTTGGTGGGGGAAGTCATGTGACTGGGTGGGCATGGCCAACTCGACATCACTCATGTCGAGGGGCGCCTCACCCGGTCCCTCCCCTCCCAGCCACTCCTTGTCATGAATGGCAGGAAAATGGGGAGAGGAATTTTCCTGCCTACCATCCTTCCCTCAGTCTGTGCTGAGCTTAAGGAATGGATGACAGGCAGGAAAATTCCCTTCCCCATTTTCCTGTCTTTCACGAAAATGGTTCCATTCCGAATCTTCAGCATTGCAATCCTGGGATACGCTAAAGGTTCGGAATGGAGCCTTTTTTGCGAAAGGCAGGAAAATGGGGAGGGGAGTTTTCCTGCCTCTCATCCATTCCTCAGGCTCAGCACAGACTGAGGGAAAAATGGTAGGCAGGAAAATCCCCCTCCCCATTTTCCTGTGGTTCGCAAAAAAAGCTCCATTCTGAACCTTCAGCATTGCAATCTGTTGTGGCCCGCCAGCGGCCTGCATGGATCGTGCTGATCCTGATGAGGAGGAGGCTGGTGTGGTGTTGCACCAGCAGACTGCGCAGCTGACGCTCGCATCGGACAGCGAGGAGGCTGAAGAGGATGTGATGCCAGAGGCAGAGACTCAGCCAGGGCCTTCAGAACCTCCAGAGGCTCCTTCCAGTGGAGAGAGCAAAGTGGAGGAGCCTCTCCTCAATGTTCGGGCACTCAGGGCTGCTAAAAGGCAGGAGTGACTACTCAGGAGGAGGAGGTCTACTCGAGAGTAGGGCTTGAAGATAATTGGCCACTCCCTTAGCCTATTTAAGTCGCACACAGCTAGCGTTTTCTTGCTAGAAACAACGTCTCATTACTACAGAGCATCTTGGAGAGCGAGCGACTTCTCATATCTGGTTTTCTGGGCTGGTTGCCAACATTTGTCGGACTATGTTCTTAATAACTTTGATAAGGACCTTTGCACGGGAAGCCTGCATTCTTGAAAGGGGTTTGTTTGAAATTAAACAGTGTTTGCGAGGCTTGGTGTGTGTCACATTCTCTGGGAATCTGAAGCTGGGGCAGAACATAATCCTGGGATATGCTGAAGGCTCGGAATGCCTCTGCTTCAGCGCAGAATGAGTTTCGCCCATGTCTTTCTGGGTGCAGCGCTTCTGCCTGTTGGGCCACTTGCTGAAGCTGGCAGCTCCGCAGCCTCACTCCGCTTCAAGGCCACCTTTGACAGGAGTCCAGACCTTCTACTTGAATTGGGTCTGGACCCACATGGAACACTACGGAGATGACTATTTCTCTGATCTACAGATGATCTCGGCCATCACAGACAACCTAGAGGTTGAAGCAGCGGAGTGGGTGACCCAAATCCATGATGTGGGTTCCCTAGAGCTCGAGAACATCAATGACTTCCTACAGGAATTAAGGATGAGGTTTGAAGACTCGGCTCAGGGCCAGGAAGCAGAAGCGATGAATGCAATTAAGCATAGGGGCCACCCGGCAAAAGAGTACGTCAGAGAGTTTCGAAGGCTCACTAGGAAATTGCAGTACTGGCTGGAACACCTCCTGATCCACTATTTCAAGGAGGGTCTGGACCAGGAGCTGCACAATGTCTGTGTTTTCCAGGGACTCCCTGACCACATCCATGACTGGTACTCGATGGCCATGGGCCATGGACCTTGAGATCCACCTGCACTGTAAAGAGGTGTTGGAAAAGAAGCCAAGGAGGCACCTCGGTCGGCAATCTGTTCCTCCCCGATGGGTGAAAGAGCCACCCAGGGGGACCTTGATGGCCCTGATCAAGTGCTTTCGATGTGGGACTTCCTGTCTGGCTTCCGGCGCTGCCAGACGGTCCTCTGTGACCGCCGCCCCGTTGCCTGTAAAAGAGCCGCCTTTACATCTGAAAGGCGGCTCGAAAAACTCCATTTCCTGATGGAAATGTGAGTCTGAGCGGGCGGGGGTGGGTAGAGCCCTCTGCGAAGTCCCCAGAGTCTTTTTTTAACTCTTGGGGACGGGCAGGTTGGAGCTCCCTATTGTCCCTTGCCACCGCTCCGGGCATCGAGTGCAATCTGCGTTTTTTGCAGAGCTAGGCGCCGGAACCAGATTAACTAACGAAACTAACAGATGGACTTATTAAAAAAGATGAGACTTGGATTTTGGACCCTAAACCGCAAGTATCCTTAATGAATTTACAAGCATTTTAAAGTGAAAGAGGAAAAAAAAAAAAGCTTTAAAATGGCCGCTGAGGCTTGAGAAGTAGAAGAAAGCTGAAACTAAGAGTCCTTCCATAACAGATACAAAGTAGCGGAATATATACTGCTGGCTACAATTTGAAAGAAAAAGAGTTATTTTAAGTTCCTCTCTTCCTGGAGATTTGTACTTGATCTTGTTTGGGGGGTAAAAAAGAACAGCCTGCTGGAAGGATGGCGTTACTAATGAAATCTGATAGACAAGCGGGGGGGGGTGCTCCCCCACTCACAACTGTTTGAGCAAGCTCTGAGCCTACAGACTCTGCAGAATGGTTTTAATTTAAAAGAACTTATTCAGGAGGAAATGGCAAAATGTTATGAGACTGTGAACCAGAAATTTGAAAATTTAAGGCAGGAAATTAAAGAAATGATACAACAAAAGTATGACAATTTGCAACAAAAGATTGTAACAGTGACTAATGGTTTTTCAGAAATTGTTATAAAGTTGGATACAAATATTAAATTGTTAGAGTCTAAAATGGAGAAAATTGATAATTTGGACAATAAAATACTAAGAATTGAAAAGGACTTAATAAATATTCGAGATAATAGCTCAGAACTAAAGTCTAAAAAGGAAGCTGGTCACGAGACTTATAAGGCAGAAGATATAAAGCAAGGAATTGAAAGAGAGGTTGTAATGCTGCAATACAGAATCACAGAATTTGCGATCAGAATTAGAGGCTTACAGGAAAATTATAGTGATGATTTAAGAAAAACATCTGCTCAAGTTTTGGCTGGGATCTTAAAGGTTCATCCTGAGGAGGTATTCAGTAAAATTAATAAGGCTTATAGAGTGAATTCCTGGATTGCAAAACAAAGGCAACTGCCTAGAGATGTGGTGATTTACTTTACAGATAAAGAGATAAGGAATGATATTGTGCAAAAATCTTTTAATTCTACTTTACAACTGAATGGGAGAAAAATCTGGATATTTAAGGAATTGCCGCCTAAGATGGTAAGAGATAGAAAGAAATTTGGTTTTTTGGTGACTGAGTTAAGAAGACAAAATATTCTATTCAGGTGGGATGTTCCAGTGGGTATAATACTGAGATATCAAGGAATAAGATATCAGATAAATACTGTTGAAAAAGCGGAAGAATTTTATCATAAGGTACTTAAAAAGCAAAATCAACAAGAGACAGAAATTCAAGAAAAGCAGAAGGAGATGGAGACAATGAAGAAACAACAAGTTAAAGAGGTCTCCACAGATGAGCCGCTTTTGGATTCTCTTTCAGAGGTCTCAGCTGGATTATTTAATATA